TTTGTGGTTATTTAAACTAAATTATGTTTTATTTTCTTTTAAAACAAACTAGAATTAAACGAAAAAAAAATTATCCTGCCCTTTTAGTTCCCAGAGCTTGCGTGAGATCTGCGCTGCTCTTGCGATCTTTAATTGTAGATGCTGAACATGAGGAAAACAATGAAAATAAAATGGAAAAGTTCAGGAAAAAGGAAAATTATGTAAGCTGAAAAAGGAAAAGAAGGAGGCGAGGGGTTGGAGGAGAAATTAAAGAACCTTATACGGGTATAAAATTGAAAGCTAGCAATATTCGTATTTTTGCGAAGAAAAAGAATATTCTAGACAAGGAGGAAAAACTACCTAGAGATTGTGCGATTTCCGCACTGCCCTGAGTGGCTTCTGATTTCTGACAACTCATTGATTTTTAAAAATTAGTTAAATTTTCAACTAGTTAAGAAACCCCGCGAGAATTATACTGTACACAGAACATATGGTTAACAGAGATATGGAGGAAACAAATTCTAAAACTTTTTCAGTGTTCTTACAAAACATCAGATCACTGCCCCGAAACTTTGAAGAATTTGAATTAGAAATAGAACAGTTGGCCCAAAGTCCAGATATCATTTGTTTAACTGAAACCTGGCTCAAAAATAACTCTAACAATGATATTTTCCAAACTCAAGGATACGATCCTCTCTATAGTTGCGCTATAAATAAACGAGGAGGTGGTATTGGCATATATGTTAACACTAGGTCAGATCATAGGATAATAAAACAAAAAAAGATAACAATATCCAAATCTTGTCAGTTCTCATAAAAACACAATTAAATCCAAAAGTTGTAGTAACCTGTTTTTTTACATTCGACCAAATTTTCTAAACAACGCTACCTTCGAAAGCCTGCAAAATTATTTGGATGGATTAGCGCTAGGGCTTGAAACTGATCACATAGTTTGTGGTGATTTCAACGTAAATTTTCTCTTAAACTCGACAAAGCGAAAAAAATTGAGGATATTATGATAGGAAATGGCATGTTAGAAAACAAAATGAGCTGCCTCCCAAAAAAAGTGACAGAACGTAGTAGCACTTTGATTGACTTATTTTTCTGTACATCAAGTTTCTCAACCAAAACCATCAAAATTCTGTGTCTGATCATTTTGGTGTTCAGATTTTTTCAAATTTTCTGAAAAAAGACGTTTTTACTGAAAAACTTTTTGCTAGAAACTGGAAAAAATTGAAAAAAAAGGGATATAAGTGAGAAGTTAAGTTTTTATTTGCAACATGAGATTGGCAAATGTATGCAGTTATGGAATCCCGAAGACCCTCAAATGTCTTCTAGGATTTTAGAAAAAATAAATTCGAACCTTATGAAGGTAGTTGATACTTTTTTCCAAAGCGTTTACTTGTACAATCAGAAAGACATCCATGGATTGACAATGAAGTAAAAAATGCAGCAGCAAAAAAGCGACGTTTACGACAAGAGTTTTTGAATATTAAAACAACGGATTACCGGAATAAGTATAGTGCCCAAAATAAAATTGTCAAAAACCTAATCATCCGTAAAAAACGAAAATACTATCAAAATAAACTAATGCTTGAGTCCAATTGTAAAACGAAAACTTTTTTCGAAATTTTTAAGGAAATGAGTGGTAAAGGGAAAAATTCGAAATCTTTTAATCTATCTAACGGGGACACTGAGCATTTTAACGAATACTTCGCAAATATTGGCGCCAGACTTACACAGAGCAAATCAAACTGCATGGAAAAAAATGTTATACGTCAGCAGCAATCGTTGTTTTTGAAAAAAATTGATTTAATTGAAGTCACTGAAGTCATCGAAAGTTTAAAAAATAAATATAGTACAGATTGCTATGATATCAACTTTGTTCTTGTCAAGCATTTAAAAACTATACTAGCAGGCCCTTTGACTGAAATTTTTAATGACTGCCTAACCTCAGGAATCTATCCAAATTGTTTAAAAATTGCAAAAATTGTCCCAATTTCCAAAGAGGGAGACATCGATGACCCCTCAGACTATAGACCAAATTCGCTTCTTCCAGTTCTGGGCAAAATTTTCGAGCGTATAATTTTTAAACGAGCCCAATCATATGTAGACAAGTTTAACATCATCCAAAACAGTCAGTTTGGCTTTAGATCAAATAGAAGCACTGTTGACGCCATCCTTACATTGTAGGAAGAAGTTTCAACATCGCTATCGAACGACTAACTAATTTATCAGAATACGTTTTTAGACCTAACAAAGGCTTTTGACACAGTTGATCACTCTAACTTGTTAGTAAAGTTGGAACAAATGGGATTCAGAGGGCCTGTCTTAAATCTATTGGAATCTTATCTTGACAATCGCTATCAGTAAATTGAAACTAACTCTTTTAAGACCGAATTTAAACTGGTATCCTTTGGTGTACCTCAAGGATCTATCCTTGGCCACCTTTTGTTCATATTATACATAAACGATCTACAAATAGCCACAAAAAACACAGGGGTACTTTTGTATGCTGATGACACTGTTCTTAAATCCACAAACAACAAAGACTATATTGCTTTTGCACATAGATCAGCTTTGCTTGAAGTAAATGATTGGTTAGACAAGAACAAACTGACACTGAATGTCAAAAAAACCAAGACCATGAGATACTGTCGGAGCACGAAAACTGAAGAACGAAGAGTAAATTATTTTTTAAATGACACCCAAATAGAAGATGTTGAATGTTTTAACTATCTTGGAATTCTCCTTGACCGTAAATTGAATTTTCATTAGCATAATGATAAGGTAAAGAACAAAATTTTGCAATTCTGTGGTGTGTTTTTTCAAATGAGAAAGTTTCTAACTGGACAGCAAATAATATTTGCGTATAAAAGTTAAGTGCAACCAATCATCCAATATGGAGTTTTAGTTTATGCAAATACCGACAAAACCAAACTGTTGGAACTGGAAATGAAAATCAGAAGGCTAATCAGAATAATTTTTTATAAACACAGGATGGATTCAATAACTGAAATAATGCATGATAATAAAATATATACCGTAGGAGAATTGTTTGCCTAGGAAGTTCTGAAATTAACCGGAAAAATTATTCGAAAAGAGTGCCAAATTGAAACCTTGAGATATTCTATTACTGAGCAAGAATTGAACGTGATATTTTTAAAGCGAAAAACAAATCAAAAGTTAGCTATAAACAGAAATAAACTCAACAGAGGGTCGATTACACCTAAAATTAGAAAAATGTTCGTAATAAATTTTTTTTCCCACCTGGGTCAATTTCTTGAAAGGGGCTTCTCGGTTTCAATTAAATAGTTTTAATCATAAATTTTTGGATAATTACATTCTAGGAAATACGATTTTACTGGGCATGCTTTGAGATTTTTTTTGATCAATAAGTAGAACTTGTTTCTGTTGGTTTCTAAGTTATGGGTAGAAAAGACTACCTGAGAAAACTAAATTAATTTTTTTATAGAGAATGCTTTAAAGGTGCGAATAAAGAGGTTTTACATTTAAAAAATGGTTACCGGTAGAAAATCCATTGCATTGGATTAAAGAATTTAAGTATTTTTTTTGTTCTCCGCTTAATGAGACACCTGAAAACGGGCCTTGTTGGCTTAATGGTGTTCGCCCGAACAATTCTAATTTGATTTTCTAAGTTTTCATAAATAACTTTGTAACTAGATATCGCTTGGAAACAATTTATTATCATATTATTTTTTTTTTCACTACTTATTGGAATTAAGGTAGGATGACAAAAATTGAATAAAAAAGATACCGCACAAAAGATTGATGACCTATTTGCGACAGACAATACTTTAAATTTAAGAAGAGACTGCAACGTTTTTTTTAACTCAAGTCCTCGAACCGTTTAAAGATGTTTCATTAGCGCGCATTTCGGAAGGGCTTGGAATTTCGACTCGTTATTGTTCCGACCACTAAAAATAGTGGTATATTTGTGTTTGGGCGTGCCTCTGTAACTTTATAACTCAAACAATCAACTCAAATAATCATCAGATTGGCGCAGTGGCGTGCGCATAAATTTTTCTAGGGGGACAGTTTTTCGAAAAATTTTGTCGACTTTTTTTGGAAAAATTTGGCAACCAGAAATGAGTAGGAGCGAGCGGTTGTCATACCCCTACCCTGGGGCGGATCTAGGATTTTCTCGAGGGGGGGGCGGATTTTCGAAAAATCTTCCAAAATTTTGACGACCTTTTTTTTTTTTTTTAGGTCGACCAAATTGATTTTTCGAGCTCTCCCAGAGCACTGTTTTGCCCCTATTTTGGCAAAATTTTCTGCGCCGCAGGCAAATTTTTTAAAAAACAGTCAAAAAAGCCGTTTTTGGGCACTTTTTGAAAAATTTTGACAAAAAAATCGCGGTTTCTTTGGCGCGCGCTCCCCCTCAAAGTTAGTATATATTGGCGCCAAAGGCGCCTTTAGAAAAATTTTAGGGTCGATCCGCCAAAAATGGATTTCTGAAAGAGTATCAAAGGGGGGACCCTTTGGGTCGGCAGGGGGTCCAATCCCTGAGGGGGGGGGGGGGAGGGGGGGCGTCCGCCCCTCCCGCCCCCTTCCTAAATCCGCCCCTGCCCCTACCCCCTCGAGACCCTACCGGGTTGATTTGAAAAATAATACATTGATACACCATTAATAATAGACCTTGAAGGCTTGAGTGTATCGGCTTTAAAATGTTGAAAAACTCCTTAAAGTTTTCGAGAAATTGTTTTTACTTTTTAAACATAGTTTCGAGGGAAATGATTTTGCTAAAACACGACAATATATGCGATGCTCTGGAACACAATTAGACTAAGTATTGTCTTTTCAGAAGTTTGACAACCTTGCTGCCAATATGTGACCATGCAATTTGGAAAGTTTTACAAAAAGTGTTTCTGTTCGCCCAATTCAGTAGTCTTGAGTCAACTTGGGCTTCAGTATCTTCTTATTTCTTATTTGTCAAAACTTCTAAAATGCCGGTTTGGTCAGAGTAAAGGAAGAAAAAAGATTTAAATATCAGCCTCTTTTTGACAAAAACTTTGAATCATTCCTCGTTAGCAAATAAGTGCAATTAAATCCTTAAGTTATAATTGTCTGCATAAGTTTCAATTGTCTGATTACTGCGAGGTCGAAAACAGCTTTATTGTAGTGTTCATTTCAGCTATGTAAAATAGTGAAAACAATCCAGTCGTAGAAATACGACACTTTGGTGAAGAAACTGCCGTCATTGCAGATTTCAGTAGGCGTGTCATTCCGATTGAGATGGTAACTTGCCACTCCGTATAGACACTCGGGCTGAGTTGCGCCACATGCTAGTTTGTAAAGAGGACCCCCGTCGTCCAGGTAACAAGTGCTGGCTCCCCTCATTATGGGGAAAGTACACACGGTGTCTTCTCTGTAAATAGACGTAATAATCTAATAACTCAAATGTGAAAGTAACCTAAACATTTTCGAAACAATAAATAAGTTCGTGAGGCGACAACTCGTAACAGGCGTCAATTGGCAACAAGCGACGATTCCCAACAGTATTAAGTGGGAAACACTGATTCACGCGCAGTATTCTTCTCGTTCGGGATGTAAGCGCAACGGAGTGACACGACCAGATAAGTTTAGAATACAATAAGCAGTAAGAAGCATTTTTAAGTCAGGAGAAGAACTGAGAATCTCTCTTCATGCTTTCGACCCCCAAACCTCCAAAGGTTTCAATTTTCTTAGCAAATCTATACTACACTCCTTTGATACTAATATGTCCATATTTTATATCATAGAAAGAAACAAAGAAAGGAAGAAAAAAATTATTTCTTCAAGTATTTAACAAAGTAAACAAATATTAAAAGACAAGCAAATAATTTAGCGCTAGAGAGGATAGGCAAAAGGCATATGAAATGCCAACTGATAAGCTAACCTTAAACAAAAATACAGTGACTTAAATATCAAACATCATAAAAGTTTGAACAAAAATAAATTCTTCAGTGAAAATCGATTTGTCGTACAAAACCAATTCTAAAAATATGACACAGCTGCTAATACTGCACGACATTTAGTATATTTGAGACCTAGATACTAGCAGAAAACAGACAGGAAAACAAATACCAAAAAGAAGCAAAAAGCAAAAAAAAATTTTTTTTCTTATTTCCTTTTAACATTATGGAACCAGCAACGTCTAGAAACTCTATGGATTCTGACGACGATTTTTTTTTTCCTTCAAAGCGCAAAATCAATTCAAGAAAATAAGTGAAAATTAAAAGAAAAGAAGAAATGATCATCATAATGACTAAGTAAAATTGAAAAAAAAAATTGAAAAAGTTTCTCGAAAACCAGAAGACTTGGGTAAACCAATTTAGAATGAAAAGAAAATCTTTTTTGTCAGCAGTACAGCACTCATTCATGATTTTAGCAAAATAAAAAATAAACAACTTCCAAGACAGTTAGAGCGAGTTCAAGTCTCAAGCGAAATCGATTTTTTTTCTAGTAATGCGTATGTCTCCAAAACCGGAGAGAGTTTGCAATGGTGAATTTTCAAGCAGACCTTAACAACCTATTTTTGCGTTCATAACAAGAACCTTCCATTGTTTCGACAAAAAAATTATGAATTTTTTTAAAGCGAGAGAGCTGTGAGTGTCTTTAAGTTTAAGAACAAAACAACAACTTTCATTTGAGTTCAATTGCTGAAAATTTTAGGGCGAAACTTGGTTGTATTAAATAAATTAAAGAGGTAGGCACCTATCTTCTATAGGGAACCGTATTTAAACTTTTGCCCAGCGAACGGTTTTTTGATATATGGGAGAGAGTACCTCTTTGTTTTATAAGCAAATTCAGTTCTCACAAAAAGCCAGTTCAAAAATAAAATTAGCTTGAAAATTATTGATGGAGTTTATGCAAAATTTGAAAAACTCGTTAAAAGAAAACTCATGGACAATAAGAATTTTATAATGAATAAACTCATCCGAAACGATATCAAATTTTCGTTTGAAATATATCAATTCAATAAGCTTCTTCTGAAACAAGAAGATCGATTATAGGTTTGAAAAATCAAGACAGCCATACGCAAACAGTCGGTATTGGTTAATTGTTTTAACGTTTGAATTATATTATCTCATCATAACCGATCAAGGTACAAAATTTCTCATCTTTGATACATTTTCACAAAGCTCACCTAACTTTGTTTTACTCTAAGCAATTTGATTTGAAAAAGATGAATTGTTATCCATCAAAATGCCTAGATACTTACAAAAAACTCTAGGAAAAAACATAAAAACATCTATGGAAACACAAACAATTGAAGTCTCAGTTTTATACTCAAAAATTATTAGAGCCGGTTTATCAGTATTTAAAATTAGTTTATTATAAGTCAGCCAAGTATCAGTGTTTTCAAAGTCTGACTGGTACACAGTTAGATAAAAATAAAAAAGATTTTTAGAAAAACTTTGGTTGAAACATCCGCAAAAAGACGAATCGCCAAAGTTTTTGCAATGTGGGGCAAATCTTTAATATGACTCAAAAGTAACCTGGACCCAAAACCAATCCTTGTGGCACTCCTAGCTTTTTTTGATGCCCAGTCGAAAGAAACGTTGATCACTTTAACACTTTGATATCTACCAGAAAGATAGTTTTGAAACCATTGAAGACACGTTCCCCAGACTCCCTGAAACTTAAGTTTGTCAAAGAGAATTTTATGATCTAAGGTATCGAACGCTTTTCTTAGATCAACAAATTACTACAGCCCAAATTAATTTTCAAGACTGTTCTACTTCTTTCTGTTAATTCTGCTAGCTCACATATTGTCCCAAACTTTTACCGGAAACCAAACTGTTTACAAAATAGCAAATTGAATTTATTAAAATTGTTGTATAACCAAAGTTTCGTCACTTTTTCGAAAACTTTGCTGCAACTGTTTAAAAGAGCAAAAGGACGGTAAATATTAAGATTCACTTCTTTCTTTTTTATTAAGTAGTGAAACTGTAGCAAATTTCAAAAATTTTGGATATTAACCTTTGGAGTTAAAAGAAAAGCTTACTAAGTAAGTTAGAAAGGGGGCTAGAATATCGGAAAAAGCTTTAGGGAATTTATTACTAATTTCGTCAATGCCAGATGACTGTTTAGTTTTAAGATTGTTCAGAATTTCATGAAATTAACTGTTAAACAGGTACATGGAATGAGATAGAGATACGAAAGGTATCACAAATTTTACGTGAGGAGTTTTAACTGCAAGCCTTGTTCCATCAGTTAAGAAATACGCATTAAAAGAATTAACTATTGCAATTGGGTCGCTAATCGGTTTTCCATCTACAACTACATTTGGAATTTCACATTTCTTAAAGGTTTTACCTGTTATTTCATTCAATAAATTGAACACCTGCCTCATGTCTCCAAGAGATTTTTTGGTTTTTTTAACAGTACTGTTTTTTTTTGTTCGACGAACCATCTTTTTAACTTTATTACGTTCATACAGTAATTTCAATTTTTACATCATATTTCGTTTGACAGACTTCAATAGTTGATATATGTTGTTTCTTTTGCAAATTGCGTTTTTTATTTGCTTGTTTAACCAGTCTGCTTTTGGTTAACAGAGCTGCAAATTCTTTCAGTACTATATTAAGCAATTTGCAAAACGTTCATACACACAATCAAAATCTTCCACAAATTTCAGCTCATGTTTATTTTTTTTAAATGACTAGGAGCGCGGCAAATTTTAATAACTAGTAATGCTAATTTTCTGAACCTTATCTCTTGTTGAGAATTTCTTTTTTCATTTAGTTCAAGAATAACTAAGTAACGATCAGAAAAGGATTCAGTATTAAAAACTGTAACGTTTGCGTTAATCAAATTAGGGACAATGACATGGTAAAGACAAGAATTTCTGTTACCAGAAACTCTCGTGGGGTATTGATTAACGTATTAAATCCATATGCATTAATTATGTTCGAAAAAACACTTGTTATCTCATTTCTTTTTAAGATATCGATATTAAGATCACCCAAGAACACTATTGCAGTTTTCTTTTTGGATAATTCGTCCAATCCATTGAGTTAAGACCGAAGTGTAACTCATAGAGTAATTTCGGATAGGGTACATGGTCTGCTCTTCACGCTATCTTATTTTCGGCCGGATAGATTCGTGCAACTTCTTAGTCTAATACCGATCCTAATCTTACTCTTATATCTACTAGTCTCAGGGTGTTCAACTAGTCTCTGCTAGGCTCAATAGATCTAGAGTATACTGGCTTGTTGCGATTGCTAGAATGTCTTCTTCCGATTTCTGGTAGTTTTAGTATTGTAAGGAATAGCGGCTCTGATCTATTGAGTCGTAGAGACATTTCAATTAAATTGTTATCATGTAACATTTCGGATCTTGTTAGTTCTAAGCTAATTTATTTTTTAAGGTCTTGTTCGAGACTTATGGTTGCACCAGGTTAGTTAAGACCGAAGTGTAACTCATAGAGCAATTTCGGATAGGGTACACCGTCTGCTCGTCACGCTATCTTTTTTTCGGCCGGATAGATTCGTGCAACTTCTTAGTCTAATACCGATCCTAATCTTAGTCTTAAATCTACTAGTCTCAGGGTGTTTAACTAGTCTCTGCTAGGCTCAATAGATCTAGAGTATACTGGCTTGTTGCGATTGCTAGAAGGTCTCTTGGAGAGGTAACTAATTTTTTAAGTTAAATTCAAATCTCTCTGGTGCTGAAATTACAAGTAATTTTAAGCACTTACAAATAAGTGGATTCTTAGTTATATGGATCATGATTGGTTAATACTAAATATTTTATAGTGATAAAATATCCAATTTATAGCCAATAATAAAAAATATAGTTTAGATCATGTTCCACCCATCCGGGGTTTACAGAGTTTTGAATCTTAGATCTTCTATCTGTAATGAAGGATGGATGATGGTCGTTGTTATTTGGCGAGCATCATTTCTTGTTTTGTACTTGGAGAAAAAAGCTCCAGGAAGCTTGAATCATTGACATGAACTGGTTAGTTGTTTGTTCGACGATGACTGCGTCCGCCGCTGAAATCAATCTGATTTCAAAATGATTTGCTATGATTGTTTGTTCTGCTTGGGTGGAGAACTGATCGAGTATCATTCTTATCTGGGAATGACGTGAAGATCGTGTTTGGAGGGGATGCCTTGTAGCTCGGATCTGTACGTGTACTTGAACATTGAGGTGGTCATTGGTCTGATTCAATGAAGTCCTTTTCTGCGAAGTCAAGTCGTACTCTAAATCCTTTGAGAGTCGTGATTGTGAGCGGCATGTCAGTTGTGTTTAGCCACTCTGTACGTTGAGTGTGATGTGGTCGTCTAAACTTTGGATGCTCGCCTTTTGCGATTGTTCGTGATCTATGTACTGCATATTATATTTTACATTTTATAAAATTTTGTTAATTCTTTAGTT